AGAGAGAGAGAGACACAGAACCCAAAGCAGGCTCCAGGCTCTGAGCTGTCAGCACGGAGCCCGACACAGGGCTCGAACTCACAAACTGTGAGATCATGACCTGAGCCGAAGTCGGACGCTTAACCGACTGAGCCACCCAGGCGCCCCTGAAAAATTTCTGGTTTTCTATTACAGAAAGACACTCTAAGGACAGTATCCGTTCTGTGCAGCTAGTGACGCAAGGTAATTGCAGTCATTTTATACATAAAAAACATAAACAATAAAAACTTCCAGATTATCCTCCAGTCTTGTAAAAATGGATGCTGCGTCCCCAGACCACAGCTCGCACCCCTCAAAAACACAAGCAGCCTCTCCCACCACACCTGTCTCCTCGATCTTCCAACCGTAGTTTCGAGAGTCTTGCACGGCTTGTCCTAACAAAGCCGCTTGGTGCATCAGTTTTTTAGGTATGCAACCCACATTCACGCATGTTCCTCCGAGACCTGCAACAACATCAAGAAATAAGTTTATACCCTGTTTCACGATCCTTGATAGAAAGAGGTCAGTAATCATTATAATGTGCCACAAAAGATCATAATTTATTTGCCCAACGTAGCCCAATACTGTTTATGCAAATTCATTCCTAAGTTTCAAGGCATTTCTAAGCGCAGAGAGCCTTATGTATCAAACACAGTGAGTGACCTCACCCTCAAACAAAAGAAAAATGAGATTTCCACAATTTCCATACCCTCAAAAATTCAAAATTAACTGACTGCTGATAAAGATGCCAGAAATTGAAATTTTACTTTGCATGCAATCCTATACCTGCCACCAAATCTTTGAACAGAACTGTATGATAAAGGGGTTATTAAGCTAGCCACAGTTGGACTGCGGTGGGTCTGGAACTACATATAAAATGTGGTGTATGTGAGCATTTTTTTTTAAGATGGTGGTCTACAGCTTTCATGGATGCTCACAAAAGGATTCATGACCAAAACAAACACAAGCTTTAGCATCTCTGAGACTAAACAACATGGCGCTAGACTGTCTCCATTAGAACAAAATACAGGCAGGCAGGGAGGCAGACAAAATGGCGTGAGATCGCAAGATGGCAGCAGACGTCACAGCTCAGCAAACAGAAGCCTTCTGAGGAGAATGCTTCCAGACTGCCACTATGGAGCGCAACCTCCCCAGGCCAGAGGGGCTACCCCCAGCACAAGAATAGTGCCTGGGGCACCTGGGTGGCACAGGAGGTTAAGCATTCGACTTTGGCTCAGGTCACGATCTCATGGTTCAAGCTCCATATCGGGCTCTGTGCTGACAATGAGAAGCCTGCTTGCTTGGGATTCTCTCCCCCCCCCTCTCTCTCTCTCTCTCTCAAAATAAATGAACTTAAAAAAAAAAAAAATGGGGCACTTGAGTGGCTCGGCTGGTTAAGCATCTGACCTCAGCTCAGGTCATGATCTCACAGTTCGTGGGTTTGAGCCCTGCATCAGGCTCTGAGCTGACAGCCCACAGCTGCTTTTTGGAGCCTGCTTCAAATTCTGTGTCTCCCTCTCTCTCTGCCCCTCCCTCACTCACGTTCTGTCTCTTTCTGTCTCTCAAAAATGAGTAAACGTTAAAAAAAATTAAAAAAAAAAAAGAATAGTGTCCAACACAACACTGACACCTAATAAATATTTGTTGAATGGATGAATTAGAAAGTGAGACACTCTCTTATCCAAGAGTTCCTGCTTCTTGCCTCCTAATGAGAGCAGCTAAGTCATCTTGGTAAAATTTATGTATCCCATCAATCCTCTTCTCAAAGGCTTCCTACTAGGCTTTGATTAGGTCCAATTCCTCATCTCGGCCTATTGAGACCTGTACAGCCTGACACCTGCCTTCGTCTCTAATCTTACCTCCAGCTCGTATCACCCAGGCTACCACCATGAAGGACTCCCACCTGCCTCAGGGCCTTTATATGTTTTATTCTGTGACAGAGACCGAGAAAAGTCCCCTGGAAGGTTCTTCCTCAGCTTTTGGCATAGCTGGTTCATTCTTATTCTTTTGGCCTCATTTAAATTTTTTTTTTTTCAACGTTTATTTATTTTTGGGACAGAGAGAGACAGAGCATGAACGGGGGAGGGGCAGAGAGAGAGGGAGACACAGAATCGGAAACAGGCTCCAGGCTCCGAGCCATCAGCCCAGAGCCTGACGCGGGGCTCGAACTCACGGACCGCGAGATCGTGACCTGGCTGAAGTCGGACGCTTAACCGACTGCGCCACCCAGGCGCCCCTCTTTTGGCCTCATTTAAAGGCCACCTCTTCAGAGGCCTTCCTTGATAATCTTCCCAAAGTTAAACTCTTTCCTCTACCCAGTTCCTCTCTATCCCACCATATAATTTTTTTTAGTACCACTCATCATAATTTGTAAAGTTCTTGCTTATCTCTTGTCTCCCCGCTAGCATATAAACTCCACAAGGACAAGAACTTCACGTCTACCGCACCTACTGCTACATCTCCAATGCCCTGGTTTGCAGTAAGTGTTCAATTAACATCTGTGGAATAAATGAATGCAGAACACTGATTCAACAAGATTCGGAAGCAGCACGGGCTCTCCACTGAGATATCTGATTCCAGTTCTTATCGAATGTAGGAACTGGTTTCAAAATAGAAACCCACAGGTAAGTGTTTCAACTTTCAGTCCTTAAATCCCTAAGTTTACCAAATTACTCAAATCTTTGGTTTTAAATCATCATGACAGCTGTGGAGAAGGTGTTGCATCATCCTGACACTGCCAGAAACTCCAAATTTTCAACATTTAACATTTCCATTTTAACTTAGCACAAGTGAAAGAGGCATATATCTTTTTTGTTGTTTTAATTTAACTTTTAAATGTTCAGTTGGGTTTTAGGAGCCATTTAAACATATGCCAGGGAAAAGCCTGCTCCTACCAATCCACTTCTAAAATACTTCAAAGCTTACCCCATCTAGTTCCGTGGGGGGTTGGAGTGACAAAATCCAGGACCAATATCTTCTTGTCATATTTGGCTGCCTCCTAGAAAATAAACGTATTAAAATGAACTCGAAAGGTGACCATGACAGACTAGAAATGGACTGTTAAAAATCCAAGCTATTCTTATTAAGCTACAGTGCCCACAGCATAACCAGTTATTACTGCCTGGAACTTCAGATACTGCACCAAGATGGTTAGTGAGACTCCAAAATAAAAATTAGGCAACTGAGACAGTCACAGGGTAGTTGTAAAGAACATACAGAGCACAGTTGTAAAACTGTCTTCTGGACACACTAGTATCCTCTTACATAATTCCATGCAAACAGTAACATATTAAGCAATAATCTGAAGAACCTGGGGTCTTTTCTAAGCAGGCAGGTGAATAGCCAGTAAAAAAGATTTAGGACAGTCTACAACCCTTGATTCAATCTGTATTCTGTAAGTATTTCTGAAAGTATTTGAAGTTTTATCTAATTCAGTATCTAGGCAGAATATTGGAAAAGTTTTTCTTCTAAAATCGTCAGATTTCCTAAAATTTCACATGAAAAGCCAGTAAGAAAGGTGATGGTATCTATGAGCTTTCCAAACAGATTTTAGGGAAGTGATGACAATAGTCAGTTCATTTTGCAGAGTATCCTTTATCTTTTTCAGAGAATAAGTTTTGTGTATTGGCAACTACAACCTCCAAAGGTTATTTGAAAGGATTGAGTCTATGTTTCCTTTAAAACCAACAGAACGAGGGGCGCCTGGGTGGCTCAGTCGGTTAAGTGTCCAATTGCAGTTCGTGAGTTCGAGCCCCACGTCGGGCTCTGTGCTGACAGCTCAGAGCCTGGAGCCTGCTTCCGATTCTGTGTCTCCCTCTCTCTCTCTGTCACTCCTCCACTCATGTTCTATAATGCTCTCTCTCAAAAATAAACATTAAAAAAAAAATTTTTTAATAGAAGGAAACTAAAACTCACCAGAACTAGAGTAAAATACATCCAGTATTATTACTGAATTATTTATAGCTAAGTATGGCTTCATGCCAGATGCTGGCCTGCTCCTCATTTGGGCAGCTTCATTTTAATCTACCCTTACTGACCCACAAGCTACACCTTTTAAACCATGTCATCTTTTATTTTAAAAAAATTTTTTAACGTTGGTTTATTTTTGAGAGAGAGAAAGACAGCTGTCAGCACAGAGCCTACTTGGGATTCTCTCTCTCCCTCTCTCTCTGCAACCCCCCACCCACATGCACACGCATGCATGCACATGCTCTCTCTCTCTCTCTCTCTCTCTCAAAATGAATAAACTTAAAAAAAAAATAAAAGTACCTGTTGGAGAAGGATGACAGTCCCAAGGGCCCTTGGCCCCTCACACATAGAAGATGTATCTCAATTTAGGACCAGGAATCTCATTCCTTAAACTCCCTTATTTATACTTCCTCTCCCCCATGACCCCCAGACCAGAGTTAGTGGGTATTCTCTTAGTTCACTTCTTATACAAAGGAGGCAAACATTTTCAATTTTTTTTAATGTGTATTTTTGAGATAGAGCGTGCGCGAGCGAGTGGGGGAGGGGCAGAGAGAGAGAGGGAGACACAGAAACTGAAGCAGGTTCCAGGCTCTGAGCTGACAACACAGAGCTTGATGCAGGGCTTGAACTCACAGACCTCAAGATCAGACGCTTAACCGACCGAGCCACCCAGGTGCCCCAGGAGGCAAACGTTTTTAATGATTAAGTTTAAGGAATCCAATTGCTCTCCATTTTTCTACTGGGGAGGAGGGCCTGTGAAGAGGAAAATCATCAAAGTGAAAAAAACCTAATATTGATATTTATAAAGAGTAAGAAATATATTTATTTAATTTCAAACTGTTTCTATACCACACCTTTATTATCTTTGAAAAGTCAGCCAAACTTAAAATGAATGAAAATGTGTCCCAAAATACGGGGCACGGTACTGTCATGTAGAAGTACTTTCACAAAGAAGGTACAGTTCAACCTGGAAAACTGATTTACAAAATAGTCCCTTTGTAAACATGTCCTGCCCGAGTTAAGGTGCAGAATGTCACAAGAGTGGCTCAACCTAATTCCAGTGAGAACCGGCGGACGTCTATCAGGAGCGTGACTCCTACCCATCACCCAGATGACACACAGGAGCCTTGCCTTAGCAGCTGCCAGCCCTCCTGAGCCGCCTCCAACGATGATGAGGTCATAGTCATAGGACTCGGGAAGACCCTCCGAGCCGTTCATTTTCAGTAGCTTTTGAAGTCTGCCCTCCTGATAAGCCTAAAGAAAAGGAAGAGGAAATAAGTTAACTTAAAAAAGCAGCAATGCCGAAAAGTTTTGTGAGAAAACCTTTCTCTGAAAAAAGCAAAAGGAATATTCAAAGGAAAAATATCGTTTAACTCCTATCACAGCACGCAAGAAGAAAATGTTCAACCCTCTTTTCAAGTGGTGACCAAGAATTTGCTTTTTGTTAGGACTGTCCTAATTCCTTTTTGCATCACAGATTGCTAACTGAAATGTTCATATAGTACTTCTAATGTTAGACCCTGACATTCCAACAAAATCAATTTAGTCCTAAATGAAGTATGATCATCAGTCCTTTTTCCCCAGAATTATTACACTAGGTTTTAAATTTGGTTTTTAAAATATTTGTACTGTATGTTTTTAATAAAACCATCAATAACCATTCAGTAGTCATCTTTATTTTCTGGCCAAAGGTACAAAAATAAGTGGCCTAAGTTCTCAGATTAGGATAGCGGTCTGGTAGGGGCACCTGGCTGAGCGTCCGACTTCGGCTCAGGTCACGATCTCACAGTTCTTGAGTTTGAGCCCCACACTGGGCTCACTGCTGTTATCCTGTCAGCACAGAGCCTGTTTCCGATCCTCTGCCCCCCTCCCTCTGCCCCTCTCCCGCTTGTGCTCTCCTAAAAAATAAATATTAAAACAAAAAAAAAAGATAGAGGCCTGGTAAATAGCAACTGAAACAGATTAGCCAAATACTTAAGACTTTTCTACATTGCTCAGGTAAAAGTTCAGAACAAAAGCATTAATTGACATTTACCTACAAGAAAAGTTAAATGTAAAAGTCCCTGCTTTTCCAAGGCATTTTATTTATTTTTTTATGTTTATTTATTTTTGAGGGAGGGAGGGAGGGAGAGAGAGAGAGAGAGAGAGAGATCGCGCCTGCGCACAGTGTGGGAGGGGCAGAGAGAGAGAGAGAGGGAGAGAGGGAGACACAGAATCCGAAGCAGGCTCCAGGCTCTGAGCTGTCAGCCCAGAGCCTGATGTGGGGCTTGAACTCATGAGCCGTGAAATCATGACCTGAGTCAGCTGGACGCTTAACTGACTGAGCCACCCAGGAGCCTCCCAAGATACTTTATATAAGGAAAGAAATAAAAAGTGGGGGAGGGTGCGGGAGACAATAAATTAAGCACAACTCTGTACAACTTTTTTTTAAGAACACATTTTTTTAAATGTATTTTTTTAGTTGTTTTAAGTAATCTCTCCACCGAACATGGGGCTCGAACTCACAACCCTGAGATCGAGAGTTGTATGCTCTACCCACTGAGCCAGCCAGGCACCCCTAAAGCTTACTGCTTTAATCTACCTAGGCACGAGGCCTCCTATACTGTATTAGTTTCCATGTACTTGGCACATAACAGACTTTATAATATAAATATTATAGACTTTTAACTTCAAAAGCCATTTCATTTCACTAGGTTTTATATACATGAGTTATATTTCATATTAGCTTGGAACACTGTTTTGGTGATTATTTTTTAAAGCAGGCTTCGCTCCCAGAGCGGGGCTTGAACTCATGACCCTGAGATCAAGCCCTGAGCTGAGCTCAAGAGTCGGATGCTTAATCAACAGAGCCAACCAGGTGCCTCCTGTTTTGGTGGTATTTTTAATATTACCTTTTATTAAAACAAACATGTGTGCTAAATGTTATACCAGCAACAAAAAAGTGTGTTTAAAAATGAAGTTTTAATCTCAATAATCGATAAAAGTCCCCCAAACTTACCAGCCCCGACGCCACGTTTTTCTCCTGCCTACCATCAGCTGTAGGGGGCGAAGGGCAGAGCTTAGGGTCAGTAGAGCAGGATGCTGGGGACGCGGAAGGGGGCGCACTGGAGGAAGGTGCAGGAAGAGGCATGGCACCGTGGCTGCCCCTTGGCAGGGTGGCAGGTGCACCTGACGGCTCAGAGACTGAAGGGAGAGCACGTGGGTACCAGCAACAATGGGGACAAGACTGCATCAACCTGACCGTCTGTACAAAAGGTCTAACGTGAGAGGCTGGCAAACACAGCCAGTATTCATCTACTGGCATTTTGGCAGAGGCTCCTCCTTCAGTACGAGGCACTGTGGGGGGAAAAACAATTTGGTAATAATAGCCATTCAGATCACAGGACCATTACAAGCTTCAGGTAACAAACGTTACTCTCCAGTTGGTCTCCAGGAGCGCAGGCTGACTTGCTGGCTTAAAAGAATTAATAAATGGGGTGCCTGGGTGGCACGGTCGGTTAAGCGTCCGACTTCAGCCAGGTCACGATCTCGCGGTCCGTGAGTTCGAGCCCCGCGTCGGGCTCTGGGCTGATGGCTCAGAGCCTGGAGCCTGTTTCCGATTCTGTGTCTCCCTCTCTCTCTGCCCCTCCCCCGTTCATGCTCTGTCTCTCTCTGTCCCAAAAATAAATAAACGTTGAAAAAAAAATTAAAAAAAAAAAAAAAAAGAATTAATAAATGCAGCCAGATGTCCTTTTGGAAAAATAACGTATTACCATTTTAATCTCAGCCTCAGTTTTATCTGCAGGTACTTGGCACAGTGCTGGAAGACCGTCACTGGCTGTCTAAATGAAAACTACCCATTTCATAACCACCCCCACCATTATCTACTAGAACAAAAGAAAGAAAACGCACTGTCATGCTGAAAAGCCACCAATGTATAATCTGTTCTGTCCTGAAATTCTGGATCACACCTGATTCTTATTCAAGCTTGAAGTCAAATTGTATCAACCAGAATACAGATTTTATGAAGAAAACTAAGTGAGCCTGAACACTTTTGACTCTGTAAGTATAACGGTAAGACACAGGCAACTAAAGCAGTCCACTGACCCCAAAACTACACATAGTGTTTTCAAATTCCAATCCAACTTAAAACTGAAATTGCTATCCTTAAGGTCTAAGTTAAGTGGTTTGCCACCAAAATATAAACAAGATAGGCAGTAGAATAAAGCTCCCCCAAGGTCAAGGAGGAACACACAGATGGGTAAGACAGAAAAGAAAAATGCCCCCCCCCTTCTCCTCCAATTATGCTTGTTAGAAATAGTGGCCACTGACTATATTACCTGATAAAGAACAAGAATTCTCAAACTTTTTAGTCTTAGGATCCCTTTACAACCTTAAATTATGTAGGACCCCAAAGAGCTTTGGTTAATGTGAGGTTTATTTATCAATTTTAGTGTACAGAAATTAAAACTAAGAAATGTTAATATTAAAATATTGTAAATTAAAATATTAAATGCCTTAAGCATTACTGTTAAACATACTTGCTAAAAATAACTTTTTAATTAGTGACAGTACAATTCTTTTTAATGCCTGTCTTAATAAAAGACACTCATATCTTTAATGCGTTCAGTCTGTTACAAAGTCACCTGTCTGGAAAACTCCATGGTAGGCTCGTGAAGGAATTAGATGAGAAAAGCATCTTAGTATTATGGAGATAATTTTGACTTCAAGGTCTTCCTGTTACGGCCGCAGGAAGTCCCCAGAAGAACTCACTTTGAGAAGCAGTACTATAGGACACAGCACCTCACCCCTAGCAGGTGTTTGCCAGACTTACATACTGGATATTCTTTCACTTTTTCCATCTGCTTCTTAGGAAAAATGCCTATTCCCACCCCTAACCCTAGTGAAACACTGCTCCAGACTCACCTCTGAAAAGGCACGACACAGAAAACAATTCAAGTGTCCCAGATTTCTTCAAAATTAGAATGATTTTTACGTTCCTCCCCACCAAACATGATTCATATCCACTGAGCAGAGACATGTACTAGTTTTTCTTACCATTATACATCAGCTCTGGTGTTGAAATGACCTGGGTTAAAACACTTGCTCTACCACTCTCTAAGCTAGGTGACTTGGGCTCATCACCTAATCCTTAGGGAGTCGGTCTTTTTATTTTGTAAAATGAAATTAACATACCCTTGTACTACACCAAACGGCAGGGTAATGCATATCGGCACAGACGCTGGTAGGAACAATCTCTTTAGGTTACTAATTCTCCCCTTCCCAGAGAAGGAAACCTGCATGGTCAAAAAGTTCCTGGAGTGTTTAATAGATATCCCCTGCACTTCCCTGTGCCACACCTCACTTGAAATGCCCTCTTCCCATCAAATCCTGACACAGTATATAAACAGTAAGTAAACACCGATGTTATATTATTTTTATTCAATACACACAAACACATCACCCTTTCTAAGGCATTCCTTCAGGAGTTGGGGGGGGGGGGCAGTGGGTTCTTTTACCAACATTCTAAGTCTCCCATACAATATCCGTTTCTTCCATTAAGGTCTTCCTAAATTTCCCAAACAACTTTTTCCTTTTGCTTCTTGCAACTCCATTAACACATACCATAACCTTATACAAGGAAGCAGAGGGAGACTTCACTACAGTAGTAAATGTGAAGACAGACTTAAGAAGTTGCACCGGCAAGTCTGAAAATGGGAGGAAGACCCTGTAAAGCAAGGATTACAGGTGGCCTCTGAAACTGACAAGAAAACAGATTCTCCCCTCAGAGCCTCAGCAGAACCAGTTCTGCTAACACCTTGATTTTAGCCCAGAGAAACAGATACGAGACTTTCAACCTCTAGAACTGTAATATGATATAATATACATTTTCTGTTATTTTAAGCCACTAAAAGTGTGGTAATTTGTTACAGCAGCAATAGGACACTACTACATGCACTAAAACATAAATTCCCTAAGAGACGGTCCATTTCCTGTCCACCACTTCCCCCCCACTGCCTAGACCAGCATCTGGTACAGTGAACACTCAAACAACTGCTGAGTAAGTAACGATTGCCAATTCCAATCACTTGATAATAGATTCCCCAAGACAAAGGCAAAAGCATGAGGAAGTCCTATGTAGATATAAAGTGAATGAACCATGACAGAGATGTCACCACTAAAGTAGCTTACAGCACAGAATTTCTGACCCTGAGAGGAGGCCCTAATATGAGGGCTCACTCCTGAGCCAGACACTGTGCGAGGTGCTTTGCATATATTATCCCATTTGTATATATTATCCCATCTAGTCCTCACAATAGCCTTCCAATGTGGTCATCTCATAAACGATAATATAGAAGCCCTTAGAGATGAAGAAAGTCGCCCGATGAATTAAGAATTGAACCCAGGAGTAAATGATTACTAAGCTCTTGCTCTTCTCACTATACCATACCCCGGAACTCAGGTTTCTAAGTACAGCTGACCCTCCAACAACATGGGTTTGAAATGCAGTCTACTTATATGCGGATTTTTCAATAAATAGAGTATTATAAGCATATTTCTCTTCCTCTCAGTATTATGATTTTCCTATTTTCTCTAGCTTCCTTTATTATAGAATATAGTATATAATACATATAACATACAAAATATGTTTTAATTGACTTTATGTTAACAGTAAGGCTTCTGGTCAACAGTTGGCTATTAGTAGTTAAGTTCTGGGGGAATCAAAAGTTACAGTTGCATTTCTGACTGTGCAGGGGGGATGGTGTCCCTAAACCCCTCATTGTTTAAGAGCCAACTGTCCTTGTCACATACATTTTCCAATTTTATCCTTATTGTAAACTTAAGAGACAGGTGTTATTCCTATTTAGCAAATCAAAAACCTATGGTTTACACGTTCAATAATTTGCCCAAAGCCTCTAACTAGAACGTTAATTAAGTCAGGATTTGATTCCAGGTGCTTTGATCAGAAAGTGGTTCTGTTACACAATAAAGTTCTAGTTAAAAATTCTTTCTGTAATATTCTCCTAAATTTCAGTTGATTTTATTGAACCTGTGAAATTTAAGCCCCTCTAATTATATTCCTGGGAAACCAGCAGATCTGCAGTTTGCCTCATATCTAATCTCTGTAATTATCTATCAGTCAATTCTTTTTTCCTTCAAGGTAAGCTGTCACTTTAATTTCAAAATCATGTGGCAACTAAGGTGTCACAGTAAAAACAGAAACAAGTGGTCAACATGATTTAGATTTTAAAAGCCGTTAACTTTAGAGAAGGCCCCTAAAATTACCTTCCCCCCAAATCTGTACATTCTCTACTGATGCTTTTAGTCAAGTCTCCAATACTCTGTAAAGACACTGGGCACTTAACTGAGCAATCCAGTGATGAGTAAAAAAAGTGAGGCAGAATCCTCTTGCTACTAAGAAATTCTTTTCCTCTAATGGCAAATCTCTGGAAAACCCAAGGAACTTGGGTACTAAAGACAGGCTAAAATGAGAATCAGCGAAACCAAATGATACTTCCATGATGCTAAATAAATCAAAGGGTGGCACACCCAGCAAGGTTAGCATTCCTTTATGAAAAAGGGGGAAAGAGGGGCGCCTGGGTGGTCAGTCAGTTAAGCATCCAACTTGAGTTCAGCTCAGGTCATGATCTCGCTATTGAGTTCGAGCCCTGCAGTGGGACTCTCAGTATGCAGGCTGCTTGAGATTCTCACTCTCTTCCTCTCTCTCTGCCCCTCCCCTGCACTCCCATGCTCCCTCTCTCTCAAAATAAAAAACTTTAAAAAAAAAAAAAGGAAAGAAAGAAGGAAAGAAAGGAAGGAAAAGGGGAAGGAATGGCTACTTTATTTTTTTTAACGTTTATGTATTTTTAAGAGAGAGAGAAAGAGACAGAGCACAAGTGGGCAAAGGGCAGAGAGAGGGAGAAAGAATCCGAATCAGGCTCCAGGCTCTGAACTGTTAGTAACAGAGCCTGATGCAGGGCTCAAACTCACAAACCGTAAGATCATGATCTGAGCGGAAGTCAGACCCTTAAACAACTGAGCCACCCAGGCACCCCAGGAATGGCTACTTTAGAAAACAACTGAACAAGTTTCGTGAGAAATTTCTATTTTGGCAAAAAACCTCAACTACTGCTGAAGAATCTGTCCCCAACACACATTAGGATCACTCCTGTCAACCTTGATGCCATTTATTTAGTCTTTGGACTTCCTTTCCCTATTCTACACAAGACTTAGTAGGAAAGTTCATTGTTACTTCTTCCCAAGCCAGATACTTATCCACTTGCCAAATAATGCCTAATGGCAAAGTCCACTACTACCCCAGATTAAGTTCCTATAGGGATGAAAAAAAGCAGCCTAGGGGGCTCCTGGTGGCTCAGTCAGCTAAGCACTTGACTCTTGGCTTCGGCTCAGGTCATGAAGCCTACTTTGCAATTTTGTCTGCCAGTCCCCCGTTCACAGTGTCTCTCAAATAAGTGAACTTCATTTTTTTATGTTTACTTATTTTTTTGAGAGAGAGGGCGTTGAGTGGGGGAGGGACAGAGAAAGAGGGGGGACAAAGGATCTGAAGTGGACTTGGTGCTGACAGCAGCAAGTCAGATGCAGGCCTCCAACTCACGAAAGGTGAGATCATGACCTAAGCTGAAGTCGGACCCTCAACCGAGCCATCCAGGTGCTCCAAATAAATAAACTTAAAAAAAAAAAAAAA